AAGGAGGTCACTTCCTCCAGTTCCCTGCCACACTTTATTGAGCTCATCCCTTATGTCTAAGCTTATCTTGGCATAGTGCATCTTCACTGTCCTTCAACCTGTAAAACCACAGGTATGTCTGTATTGGGCATCATCATGAAATTCCACAGCCGAGTTCTCTAAACAAACTGTCAAGGTTGGAAAGTCAGACACAAAGGACTGGAGGACATCTCAAGTGACTGACAAAAGTCCACCTCTGCACTGAGGCAGGATCAAAGATACCCAGACCAATAGATGTTGCCTATCCTACTCCTTAAAGGCCGCTGAGGAAAAAGATACCTCAGCATCTTGAGGCTATCCAGTCCAAGTTTTTAGTACCATATGCAGTGTTTCACACTTTCCAAGGTATTTGGAAGAACTGGAGACCTGAATCCCCACTTCGGAGCACAGCAGTTTGGCTGCCAGAATTCTTCATGGCCCAGTGCACATGTCAGGGGAGTGACTGCCTCAAAGCACTAATTCAGTGCCGCCCCCCCCCGCCAGTCCAGCCCAGCCAGCTTCAACCACCCTCCCTAAAGAAAAGCCTTCTGCCGAGGCTCAGCCTCTGTCGCCTCATTCTACTGAAAAAACACACAGCCAAAAGGAATCCCGGTGCAAGGTCCGGCCTCAAGTGCCTGGGCAGTAGGCTCTGGGGATGGCAAAGCTTGTTTGCTGCGTAGCTGAGGCATGAAGCAATCTCTAATTTTACAGTTTCATTCCAAAAAGCAGGCTCCATAGTTACATTTCTCCATCCATATCCATACAGATGTGGTGCTGATACAGCTGTGGTACATGAAACTTTCTGCTCAGGGCGACACAACTGTGACAAAACAGGGCTTGTATGACAATTTAGAGTTGAGAAATGAAAGTAATCAAGAAAGATTTAGGGCTTTGAAGTTACAAAATAAAGAATGCAACTGATAGTCCACTCCACTCTACCTGGATCAGCGGGAATACAGTATTGGCTACATTATAGTAAGACCTTGCCCGAGTTCTCTTTAACTACTGCCTCTGAAATCACTCACACTTAATACTGTTGTCCCAATAGCTGTCTTGCCAGACAGCATGATCATTCCCCACCATGGAGAAAATGCGATCACCTCATTATTTTCACCAACAGAGTCAGCTGACAATGCTTATTTTCTTAATAAATTATTTCTCATAACTTAGTAATACTTTAAGCTACTATAAACACATCTTGAAAGCGTACCACAATTTTAATCAGTTTCAAACATCAGATGTTGGGTTTGATACTTATGATTGCTCTGACTCTGTTTCTTTTAAGGGCTCCTTTTGTCTATGAAAGCAGAGATAAAGTTATCTGGGACACCCACTGTAAAGTCTCTAATTTAAGAAGTAATTTCCTCTCTCATTGACTGTAAGATGCTAATAGCTGCTGTTATTATTTTCCTCATGATACCAGGCAAGTGGTCTTAGAGAAGTATCCTTTGACATATACAAAGTGGTCATTGAGTCAACTAATTGAACAACTGTGCCCCTAAGGTTTCTAAGGGGGACATTCTTCTAAGTCCATTTTGACCTACAGGAAAAAAACCACATCTCTCTCTAATAACTATAGTAAGAACTCAGTGTGGTATTATGAGGAGGTGACTGGGAATTATTTCTTTTTAAAGCCTCTTTTATAAGGATTCCCCATCAGCCTTTAATTAGCATGCCAGTTCCTATTCAGATGTTCCTGATCACTTACAGCTCAACATTCACTGAAGGCAACAAGTCAGACTCCCTTGAACTCTGTGGGGTCTACAGGAGGGCTTAGGGCCGTGCAGGGAACTCTCTAGTATCAACACGAAGTTAATTGAGCAGGCCTTTGACGCCCAACTCTGGGCATCAGCCTTTGGAAGAGTTTTGCTATGGAAGATCAAAAGAAAATCTGGACTTCCAGATTTGAGGCTATGTAAATGTATCATCTGTACTCAGCAGGTATAGCACTAATTTGTCTTTTGCTGCAGAGGCAAGCGAGAGGATCTGTCAACCTATTCAGTTTGACTATTTACACATATTTTAAATCTTTGCTTACATAAAACTACAATAACGTATTTCAGAACGGAGCATCTGCCAACATACATACAGTATTCTGCTAAAGGCAGATACGTACCGTAAGGTATATATAAGATCATTAGTTAGCTATGACAGGCGATTTACTGTGATTTATCTTTCAGGATCATTTCATTCACAAGGAAAATTGAGTGTCAGTCCCATCCATAACCTATACATACCGTCTAGATACTTGAAAATGATAATAGGTTAAAGGATGCAGCAGACAGCTCTCCAAGACAAGCCAAAATATTTAACCCGAAACCTTTTGGAATAGAACCTGAAAACATCAGTAGCCCAGCCAGAACTCCTGCTAACACAGATTGCCAGGGGCTAATGAACATAGAAAACTCTTTACCTAGCACATAATTTTACTGTTGGTGGGAGAGCAGTTGCTTCAGTACAGATCCAAGAAATTTGCTTATTATGGTTTTGTCTCTGTTTGAGCCAAACACAAATTAAGGCTAAATTAAGAGCTGTGGTTCAAAACGATTCAATGGAACGCAAGAACAAAGGTCAAAACTTAGATCTCTGCCCTGCAGGTGCACATCCTCAGCGCACAGCTAAATAGAGCCATCCACCTTCTGGGGAAGACTGGCAACAAAACCAGGAGTGAAATATTTGGGGTCTGATCCATGTACCACGTCCTCCATTAGCAAACCGTACCCAGCCAGAATGACATGCCCTGGGCTTCACTGTAAGGACAGGCCAACAGTAGATCAGTTTCCAGTGACTCCACTAGCAATTAAACCATACTGAAATACAATGCGGCCACTTCCTCCACTTACAACAAAGGATGATGGATCGATCCAATGGGAGCTACCAAATTCATACAAAATCTTTCAAATAGCCATTCCTCCTTACTCTCCCACCACCACCTCCCCTAAAAGAAAAAAAAAATTACAAAAAAAAAAAAAAAAGGAAAAAGAAAGAGGTCGCAGCCCCCTGGGTTACTGAACCTTTAAAAGGATTTCCTCTGCCCTGCAAAACAGGTGGAAAGCTCTAAAGTATAACCTGGCAATTTAGTCTACACATACCAGATTCAAGATTTAGCCAAAAACCTTAAATGAACCAACATAACAGCTGCCACAAAAGCCAACAACCTCTAATCAATACCTTCCACATGTAAGACAGAACAAACCACCTCTCTGCAAAACATTCTTATGCCTGCAAAGAGTAAATAAATTACAACAAATTTAAGAAGCTCGAGTTTTGCTTGCCTTAAGAACCCCAGGCAGAACCCCTAATTTTCCAACAGCAGCAAATGCTTAATTCAGAGCTGCAGTGATGAAAGCAGTTGAGACACCTGTGAGATACCACAAAACACATTTTAAAAAACATAAGATATTCACCAAGTCTGCAGATACACGTATGTTGCAAGAACTAATGAAGCTTAAAAACCATTGACAATGTTAACACAATGAACAGGAAAATATTGAATGTGTTGAAGTATTTTTGCATGACTTCATCCTAGATCTTTTCATTCTCTAATTTTACTCCAGTTTTTAGTCTAGATTATAAAGAAGATTTAAAACAGGTAGCTTTTTTTCCCCTTCCAATGAAGGCTTCCCATTAATAAAAAGGAAACAAAGAAAATGAAGAAAGTGAGTAGTAAAACTTTTACAACATAATAAAATATATCAGAATCCCAGTGCAGCAGGATTGGAATTGTCTAAAGATGCTGAATTATGATCGGTTGTCACATAAAGTTCAGTCCAGAGTATTAGCACTCATATTCTCTAGCAACATGTATATAATTGGGAGATCTTCATAATAACCCTCAGTTTTAAAGGCTCATAAAAACTGCATTTTACTCGTAATTTGTAGGAGGAAAGAAGAATTCTTAAAGGAAAGTAACATCTTTCAGTAAGAAAGACTCTGAAGGCAATACACTGTATATTTTAAAGCAAGCAACCCTAAAAGCTCTCTTTTCCTTTCACAGTTTTCAGTGGGTTATTATACAAACACTCAGTTTAAAAAGGTAAATATGTATCTGTAGTACGCACACTAGAAAGAAAATCAGTATTACATAGTGAGGAACCCTGCAAAAGTATATTGGAAGCAAAGCCTGTTACATGTTTTTGAGTAGAAGTAGAGAGTTATTTTAAGGTAAATATCTTGATGTAACATTGTAACCAACAGTAAAACAAGCTATGGCACTGGCACAGAAAAGAAAGGATGTTGGGTTTATTAAACGCATGTAAACTACATTTATCCACCTCCAAAATACAGCATGAAAATAATAATAAAAATATTATGAGGCCTTGACACTCTGGGTAGACTCCCAAATGTCTCTACATTTTCTCAATTTCTCCCTTGACATTCTAAAACAAAATCCTCTCAGTTTGTTAGAGAGTCAACTACCGAGTACCACAAACTTTCAATTATCCCAGCCACTTTTGGACTTGCCAAGGCAAAGGTAATGAATAGGATGCTAAAGTTTCTATATGGAATAGTAAAATACAACCTGCCACCAAACACAGATATTTTAACTTTATACTTTTGCCAGAGTAAAGCTTTTTTGTAAATAAAATGTGTTTGTTTTCAAATAAAGCTACTTCAAGCTGTTTTGGGAAGCACAGTAGCTAATAACAACAACAACAACAATTTCCATTTGGATTTCAAAACCTGATGAAACAAAACCACCACATGTCAAGCCTAGTGTTTTCCTACCTGGAACAGGTAAGGACCAGCTCTCAAATGCCACCTTGGGATAGTTCAGACTAGTAATCCCCTTCATGTTTAGATGAGACACCAGCATGAACAAGAAAGAAAGAAGGAAAGAAAAAAAAAATCTACCCTGTCCTCTTCTTTTATTAGCAACGCCTACAGCAGTGGGTAAGACCCGGTAAGCAAGCTGAGGACCTGGAGGACCAGACTAACCCAAACCCACTACTAGAGAGAAACAGGTTTAAGAAGAGACTTACTGCTTGCCATGTGACTTGGGGAGGTATGCTGCCCATTGGGTGTGCTGGAGGTGAGGTCAATGGCCATGCCGGAGTGCTCCCTTTCGGGCGAAAGCTCATTGTCACCTGCTTTCATAAAACAAGTCCCCCGTAAGGTTCCATCCCCTTCTTCAGCAGAGCAACACAACGATTAAAAAGCATGACTTGCTTGCTCCCTTCACCCTTCCCTCCCTTACTCGCAGGGTCTTCCACAGCCTGTAAAAACTGAACTCTCGGTGGCCACAAGTTTGACTGACTCATTTTAAAAGCCCCCCCAAGCCCATTGTCACCAGTCTTCTACGCACAGAGCTGTGACAAACCTTGCCCCAGCTGCTCTGTCTCAAGAAGTTAGGATTACTTTTCCATTTGTGGACACCAAAAATCCAGGCTGGGCAGGAGAAGACTGAAACAGTACTTCACCGTACAGACCTTCCCCCCAAAGGTCTGGGTTAACTGACAGTTAAACAACTTACACAAACCCTGACAGAGAAAACAAGAGAAATTCATAGTGAAAGGCATAAAAAGTCTTTGGCTGCAATTTGAATTTCTGAAGATGAAGTCTCTCTCATTTGCAAAGTTCATTCATCCTCAGCAAATATTTACAGCTAGAGGTACTCACCCATGTACCCATCCCCATACATGTTTCAGTCATACACAAAGTTTATGCTTAAATGCTATTAATTCAGTGTCAATCTCAATGCAAACCCCATACACAAGGAAGCTGAAGTTCCAGGTGTCTGCATTATAGAAAAGATAGCAGGAAAAGAAAAGTAATTCAGAATAATCAAATCACTACTTACATGTTATATATCCATCAGCAGCCTCTGCTTCCATAGTCAAAGTGCAGTGCTGCAAGGCAGAAAAGTACACCCTCAAAGACGCCTGTCAGTATCAACCATTAAATGATTAAACTTACTTAAAGCCCTAAGTAGTTGCCCATTTTACTGCTGTTGCAACCATTGCCTACAGAAACACACAAGTGTACTGCATGTGCTCATTTGCAAATCACTGAACTCTTCCTGCAAATTATGTGAGTAGAGAAATTCAGCTACCTCCTGGGCAGGCGGCACCGGGATCGTCTTGGTCTGACTGTACCCCCCTCTGTCCCCACTCACATTTTTACCTGATCTGAGAGTTTTTTCTCCCTGACTTTCCACTTTTGCTCAAGGCAGGATGGTAATGATTTATCAATTACCAGCTCTCGCAGCCAAAACAGACTTTGAGGAGATGGATACTATTAACAATTGCTCTTTTCACACGCACTCCAAGAGACTCCATCCTGATCTAAACAAAATAAAGCCCTCCAGTGTACATTCCCCTTCGAGACAGTTATTACAACTCTCTGTCTCACACCACCGTATGCGCTCACACACCTGTACACACACCTGTTCACTCTAACCCTATTTATCTGCCACAGCATGGGGCCCGAATGTCACACTTAATACTCCCAGATCATACATTTTGTGGTGTGAAGCAATCTTAAAGTTTCTGGAAGCACTTTGCTGACAGAGAACAAGCTATTACTTTCCAGAAACCCAAGTAACTGTATAGAATGACACCCCCTAGCTATCATTTGATATATATTGGGGGGGGGGGGGGGGGGGAGGGGG